AAAGAGTGGTCAAGCATTGGAACAGGCTGCCCAGAGATGTGGTGGAGTCACCATCCCTGGAAGAGTTCAAAAAAACGTGTAGACATGGCACTCTGGGACATGGATTAGTAGGCATGGTGGTCTTGGGTTGATGATTGGAATGATGATCTTATAGATCCTTTCCAATCTTAATGATTCCTAGTTTTTACTTTCATTGTAAATGATCCAGCCACCAAGCCAGGAGGCGTGGGGTTGCTACTCTACCCTGAATTGGTTTAGTGGTGGACTTGGTAATGTTAGGTTAATGGTTGGACTGGATGATCTTAAAGGTCTTTTCCAAACTAAATGATTCTATGATTCTATGATTAATGCATGCCTTGAGAAGAAAGATATATGTTAGTACACCCTAACATGTTTTCCTGCCCCAGGATCTGAAAATAGGAGTGACTGAACAGGTTTACCTGGTTGTAAAGGGTCTCTACCTACCTAAAAAATACATATACTGTACTCTTCTAAGGGAATACAGCTTCATCAGCTTGCCATTGAGACATGGATCATTGCCTGCTTTCTCAAGTGAGATTAACTTATAGAAAGATATGGACACTATTGGTTTGGATGAAATCATACAATGTGGGTGCCATCGATGTTGAAAATGGTCTTCAAAAAGCGTTTATTAACAGCTTGCTGTCCAGCTGGGAAGACATGTCAGTGGGGTCCTCTGAGGACAGGCCCTGTTCTTTTGACATTATCATTAATGTGGATGAGGGAATGAAGACAGAATTTATCACATTTGTACAAAAGATAATTCTGGGAAGTTTGCAAGCGTTTTGGTAAAGATGTTTCAGGTTAGATGGTCTCATCAATGGGTTAGGTAAGGGAATGAAGACAGAATTTATCACATTTGTACAAAAGATCATTCTGGGAAGTTGGCAAGCAATTTGGAGAAGAGGGTCAGAATCAGAAAAAGATACAAGGTAATTTAACAAAATAATTTGGAGAAACAGTACATAATCAACAAGATGGATTTAATTTGAGAAAACACAGTCAAGAAGTTTGAAAAGAGAAGCCTAAGGAAGGAGATTATGAGTCTTCATAGATATAAATCACTATTACTGACCCAGCAATCAATTTGGTTTTGCATGCCTAGGGGATAGGAAAGGAAGAAAACCCTGTAATTTTTGGTAAAGATGTTTCAGGTTAGATGGTCTCATCAATGGGGTAGGTATGTAGAGGAATAAGCTGCCAAAGAATGTTGTGGACTCAAGCCTCTTCTAATGCCGAAAAAAAAGGCTCATTGCTTTGCTAGTTATTCATAAAGATTTGGCTGATTGTTTTGGAAAGAGCTGTGGGTCCTCAGTATTTCCAAACTGCTGCAACAACATATGACTTGTGAAAACCTGTGGCTAGGATTAAATTAGTCATGCATTGATGTTCTAGAGGTTTTCTTGGTACTGTTCTACCTAATGTGTTTTCTTCATCTTTTCAGGGAACAGACCCACACTTTCCTTCAAATCAGTACATTACCTGAGCAGACACGGGTAAAGTTCTGTCAGACTCTCCCTCCCATTATACTTTCTTCCATGGGTCCTCAGTATTTCCAAACTGCTGCAGCAACATATGACTTGTGAAAACCTGTGACTAGGATTAAATTAGTCATGCATTGATGTTCTAGAGGTTTT